TAACCTCTTGGAGGAAAGAAAAGTGTGGCTTGGATATAAAATTCACCAACTGAAAAATGTTGTGCAATTGTCTTGACAGAATTATATAAAGCTAATCCCTCCAGCAAGAGTTGCTTTTCTTGCTGTTCCCCATTCCTATCTCTTTCTCTTTCTAAAAGCTGTTTTTCCTATTTTTTATTCTTTTTTACCTCTGTACCCAGAGGCTGCACCAACACTGAGGGCTTTTGCATTAACAAGGGAAAAACAAATCCTAGAATGTCCAAATAAGACAGGGTACTTTGATGAACAATTGTGTTGAAAATTCAGGTGAATGTTTATCATTTGAAAAAAAGACAGAGAAGAGCAGACAAAAATATTTTTATTATATTCCTTTTTTTAGTATTTTCTTTTTCTTCTTTTATTTTATCTTTATATTCTTCTCTTTATTTCCCTGAAACTTCCTTTCTTCCAGTTATTAATTAGAAACAGTTTTGAAGCTGAAGATGGAGTGCCATATTTAACCAGCCCTTCAAACAAATCCAGTTCCACCAAAGTATTTAGACCTCTTCATTTATTTTTTTTTAATACATACAAACTCAATGGAAGAAATCAAATAAAAGTTTATGATCTCCTTATTAAGACTTGTTGCACATTGCTTATAGTACTAGAGGCTGTAATAAGACATTTATTCTTCCTTTCTTTTCTCCTCTTGAGTTTTGGAAAGGAATGCAATATTTCAGAACTGACCACATGTCCATCTTTTAAGACATATTATACATGAGACTATTATTACAATGTCTTAGAATCTCATAATATTTAATAAATTCAAGATTATAGCAGTGATTTAGAGTCATAATTGTTCCTAGCACTCCAGTTTCCTATATTAAGTCATCCCAAATTCTGTTAAGAGCTTCCAATTAAAATTTGCTTAAGAGAATTGATAAACAAAATGCCTCTTCTTTCACAGTATTAATAATAAGAAAAAATACTATTTTGGGGATATATTAATAGAGTTGTATTCTAAGTGGTAAATTCTCCAGCTCTCAACCTGAAGTCCACAGTTTTATGTGATTACTCCTTTTCATACACTAGTTTCATCATGTTAGGAAAAAACTTCTTACAATAGTGAGCATAGGAACAGTGGCTTTCAGGCAGATTTTTGAGCCCAAGGTTTAAATATGCTTGAGGACAGGGAATTTAAAAAAATATTTTAAGCCTGAGAATTTTAAGAATGGCCAGCAGATCTGGTTAGATAGAGGTGTGATGAAGCCACAGTAATAGCATATGAAGAGATATGTGAACCTGGGAAATTCTGAATAAACGTGCAAATATAATTGAATGAACTAGAGTGATGAACCTCCATGGCCAGCAAGTTGAAGGAGGTGGTCCTCCCCCTCCACTCTGCTCCCATAAGACCTCACTTGGAGTATTTTGTGCAGTTCTGTTGTTTTCAACATAAAAAGGACATGGAACTGTTGGAACAAGTCCAGAGGAGGGCCACGAGGATGATCAGGGGACTGGAGCACCTCTCGTATGAAGACAGGCTGAGAAAGTTGGGGCTGTTCAGCCTGGAGAAGAGAAGGCTGCATGGAGACCTCATAGGTCTGAAGGGGGCCTATAGGAATGCTGGGGAGGGATTCTTCATTAGGGACTGTAGCAATGGGACAAGGGTTAATGGATTAAAGCTTAAACAGGGGAAGTTTAGATTGGATATAAGGAAGAAGTTCTTTCCTGTAAGGGTTGTGAGACACTGGAATAGGTTGCCCAGGGAAGCTGTGAATGCTCCATCCCCGGCAGTATTCAAGGCTGGGCTGGACAGAGCCTTGGGTGACATGGCAGGGGGGTTCAAGATAGATGGTCTTAAGATCCTTTCCAACCTTAACTTTTCTGCGATTCTATCATTCTAAAAGGAACCTTACCAATTTGTGTGGGTAGATGCTGATGAATTTTTGGTTCAATGACAAAAAAAAACAGGGAAAAAAATGAGTATGATAAGATGAAAGATTGACTAAGGATTAGAGATTCTAAGGGTATATAATTTTTTTTTTTGTCTCTATGCATTTGCTACAGGAGATTTCAACTTTTCCTTATAAAAGGGAATATTCTGGGAGAATGTACTTCTGTTTCTATACATTTTGCTTCCAAACTAGTCCCCTTTAATTGATCACCACAGGTTCTTACAAAGTAAAAGTAACTAAATTTTAACAACCTTGGGCTATTTGAACCTTTTCACATAAAGTAAGAATTTCACAAACATTGATTCAACCTCTGATTTGAGCTTAGTTAAACAGTTACTTGATCCTCTTAGTAAATTCACTCTGGTCAACCTGAAGAACATCTCAATTAAACATCTTCCTCCCCAGAGAGCATTTGCAGTGCTCCCTAGTATTCTTTATCCAGTCCTAACCTCTCTTTCTATTATGATTCTATTCACATCTTTTAGATGCTGCCTATCTGGCACTTTTGGATAAAGTATGCTATTCACAGCAAAGTGGCTGGCAGCTGTGGGCTCCAGTTATTTTTACTCTTGACTCGGAGCACAAAGCACTTCAGAAGAAAAGCGTTACAATAGTATAGCTTGTATATATGTGATATTGATCATCTTCCCAGCTAGGCAAAGCAAAGAGTATGGGCATTGTTTGTGAGATACATAGACCTGTACAATCTTGGCGCAAAGGTGTTTTCTTCAGTACATTCGGGTAAGTTAGCAGCCAGGAGTTGATTGATTTTTTTCTTCCCTTTATTTCAGGTGGAGTTGAGT